ATTTGTATTTCAGCATACCTCTGCACCTTTAGCGAGGGCAAAGCCTCCACTAACCATCAGGGCAACTTGCCACGGCATGGAGGCCTGAAACTCTTTCCAGGAAATCATTGACTCTGAATTGAGAGAGAAAAGCATTTACTGGGACTGATGGCACAGATGCTGAAAAACAGACAAGATGTTCAGAAATGAGTGTTAATACTTTACTGATTTTAGGTATTCACACATTTCTGTGCAGCTTAAAGTTTATATTTTTATGTAAAAGCTTGATATGCATAGGACGCAATAACCAAAGAAGTGAGAATAATGTATTGTAGGAAAACTGCATTAAGAAGAATTAAGAAAAACAAAATTTGAGTAAATCTACAGTACTTAAACTCAACCAATTATGCTAATTTCCTGCTCTGGGGCTCTTTGAGTACTTGTGTTAGCCTTCAACATCTGACTAAACAACAAGCCACGTTCCATACATTTACCATATTTTCTGGAGGGTCCGTGAGCAGGTACGATGAAGAGGAGGACGCCCAGCACCAGAGCCACAGTGGCATCTGTGATGTAGTTGGATTTACTGAAAAACAGAAAAAGTGATCAGCTGGGTCATGGTTCATTGCTGCTGCAAAAAATCATAAATATATATGTTTCCCAAAGAATCTGGTCTGATATTTGTCATTCTATCAAGAAACTGCCTGGAAAGATCAAAACTGACAATAAGTCTGTTGGTTTCTACTGAAAGTGACTCCCAGATGAACTTCTCTTTATTAGAAAAGTTCGTGAAACAGCTGGTAACTCTGGTTCTTTGCATGCATTACAAAGAGGAAACAATACATATTTTTAACAGTGTACGACTTCTCATGTTGCTCTTGGAAGAGGTGGAATTTTTCAAAATGATACTACATTTAAAAGTCTATTTGCTTCAAGGTTGTCTCCACATGCCTCTCTGGATGTTTCAGCACTGGTGTTTATTTGTTCCTGAGAAATCTGTTCTGGCTGTTGAACAGACAGCAGTTTTAGGAGAGAGCCTGCAGCACATTCAGATACACGAATGTGAATCTGAACCACGATTTTTTTTTGATATTCATGGGGTTGTGCACTAATTTTCAAGCATCAGACTGTTGGAGGGGAGCTCGACTCTCCAGAAACACCTGAAGAGAAACTTTCAGGGTGCATATTATTGCCTGCAGGTATTATAGTTTCCATATCTCCATTTCAAGAACAAGTTTGAGTTGACACAGTGGCAGAGATCCAGAACAAATAGTAAGATTGTGACCTCTACAGAAGGATCTATAGCAGGAGCGCTGCAGAAGGACACTGGACAAAATTAAACTTTGTTGTTGTTGTTGTTTCTTTGATGGAAAAAAAATCGAGGGCTTTAAGATCACACCTTGTACTTGGGAATAAGTTTGAATAATTTCCAAGAAAATAAAAGAAGGTTGTGACTCACTGAGGGAAGAGGGAAGCCCAGCCGGGTATAAAACCTGGAGATCTGGTCAACCACAACAAAACCATCCCCACAAAAACGACCCCGGTGAAGATCTCCTGAGAACTGGAGAGAGGGAACGAATGAATGTGTGAATGCATAAATTATCATAGGAATGTCTTTCTGTCAATAACTGATCAACAAGTAAATGAATGACGGCAATCTAAGGTAATGTAAAACCCTCTGTATAATTAAATAAATTCCTGAATGAAAATATATCTTTTTAAAAGAGTTATATTGTAAGTTATATATGTGCTGACAGAGAGAGAGTTCACCAAACCTCCGGGCTACAGACCTCTTTATCCATCTCATTTGGCCTGAGTTGGTCAG